CGGAAAGCAAACGGCCGCCAGCCGGCAGATGGAACCCTGACTCACCGCATTCGCATGACGGGGATTCTCGTGTTCGCTCGGGGGTAGATCTTTGGCCCAGGGATGCAGGCACAGGGAGACGGCCAACGACTCTTGCCCAGATTGGATAAGAATGTTCTGGCCCAGGCTTTCATTCTTCGTTGGAACGCAGAGCTTGCGCTTCGACCCTCAGACCGTTTGGGCCCCCCTAGAGTGTCGCAACTAGAAACCCTCTTTCATGGTGTCCCATGGTTTCAATCACAAGGCAATTGGGCGAACAGCAATCCCTCCGCCAATGATCTGAACAGCGGAGTTGAGCGGCTGGGCGAGCAGAAGGTTCGTGTCCTTCAGGGCCAATCTTGTTCGCTCTTGACTTTGGCAGTCCATGATTTCTGGACCCTTTTGCGGAAAACAGCTTATGCTGACCAGCGATTGGGGCTGATGGTGACACTTCAGACATGTTGTTTGATTCCCTAGCAATCCTGAAAGTGTAGGAGTCACGGGCGGGATCCAAACAACAGAGCTCTGTGTTCAACCCAGATCGCGCGTCAGCGCAATTGTTTTTTTCAGCCTGGCTGGAAGCCGGGCCGAACTGAGCAGCTTCAACGTCGAATTGAAGGATTCCTTGAGTTTCGAATGCGGGGTACGAGTCATGCAGGGAAAAAAGACGAGTCCAAACTCAAGTCGATGTTCGGAGGTGCGACTCGAAGCTGAGACCTTGGAGCCGCAGACCTGCCCAAAGCAAATCGATTCGAATCTAGCTTCGTCGTGACCATAGCTGTAACTCACTTACACCTTTGGGCAGACACAAGCGCCGCAATCATTTAGACAGCTACCGCATCTTGCACACAGTGAGTGGCGGAGAAAAGCATCGTCGGTGCACGGTTCTATTTATTGACCTTGTTGTTTTTGTGCCAGGGAGGACTTGTTCTGCGTGCTTCTCCTGAGGTGCCAAAAACAAGAAACCCCAGGAACTGCGCTTTCGTTTTCTGCATAGAATCTGAACAAATAGTGGGGGAGGGGGGAAGGGTCTGCAGATGCATGCGTTTAAGGATTGCTCGACTCCCGCCCTGTCCGAGCTTCACCTACTAGTGCATCTGGCCTGGGGCTTTCAGTCCGTCCCTTCTCAATTCTTCCGCGCATTCTTGAAACAATAACTCGCCAATCGCTCAGTTGTTTTTACTTTTTGGTTTCGGTTCGGGGGGGGGGGGGGCACGACCACTCATGCTGCGGAAACAAGCCCTTGATCCGAGTATCCAGTTTGAGCCTCGCAAAGGCCTTGCAACTGCCATATTGCATTTGCTTGTTTCATGCAACATGTTGTCAATCGAAATTGGTGGCAGACAATCGAGGGAGGCATTTCCTTGCAGAGTTGACTTGCTTCACAACCTGTGTGTGTGTGTGTGTGTGTCTGTGTCTGTGTCTGTGTCTGTGTCTATGTCTGTGTCTGTGTCTGTGTCTGTGTCTGTGTCTGTGTCTCTGTGTGTGTGTGTGCACGTTCGTTTGCCTGCGGCGTTTGTTTTGACCAAGGAATGGCCCGGTCCGAGAAATAACGTAAGGCATCCGAAAGAATGGTAATGCAGCCATTTGGAGATCACACGGAGTGTTTCCTAGAAGCTGGTTGAACGTTGTTGGAGACACTGGGGAACTACCGCCATTACCATCCCCAAGCATTGCAGGGCATGCAAGCCCCAGCAGGTAGCAGTTAGTAAGCTTTTCTGGCATCCAATTTGCGTAGGTTTGCTGTCAAATGCTTAGGGTTTCTTCCCTCAGCTGACTTCAACTACACACGTGATGCCGAATTAAAAGCAGCACATCAGACATCACTGCAACGGTGCAGCTGGCAAGCCAGTGTAGCGGCGGCTTCAATGTCAAGGCGCGGAAACTGTCGCGTGGGAGGGGGCAGCGCTTTGGCAACTGATAGTTTCAAGCTTGCAAGGACCACGACGCGGTCCGGGCATCAAATTGAACATGCAGAGAAACGGTTCCAACATTGCTAAATTCGTGCAGGCAACTTGTGCGCGGTAAGCCCGCCAAGCGTGGGACTAAGGTCAGTGTATCAACCACACAAATTGCATTCAATTGGACTGATATCGGCAAACCACTGGCAAAGTGCGTGCAGATGTGCGCAACACATTGCAGCGTCTGCCCTCGCGCAAGGACCATCCAAAATGGCGGGGACCACCGCGGCAGATTGCTTAGAACCACGCTGCCAGACTTTTTGTTGGTGACTTGGTTCGGTCAAGTCGAGTCTATGGAATGGCCTCATTCCGAGACACCAGAACGCCTTTTGCGGTTTTCTTGCGCATGTTGGAGTTGCACTGTTCGAAGTTTTCCCACGTGATGCAAGCCCATTGCGGCCTGGATGCTTAAAACAGGCAAATTAATTTTGATTTCTCTCAAGTGGCGGGCTTGACATGTGTTTGCTTGTTGCGGCCTTGGTTATTGAGTTGCATCATGCAACCGGCTGTGACGGCAAAGATACTTGTTTGCGCCTTTGCCATTGCCGGCCTGGCGCCTAGAATCACCAGCGTTGGTAACCGCCAGAATTCTCCAAAAGATCCGTTGCCGCGCCGGGACAAGCAAATCGGTCACACGCCTTACCAGCCCCTTGCGCTTCGCAACGGAACTAGAAGCCTCCTCGTTGTGGGGGGGGGGTTGGGCGGGTTACCGCAGGATTCGTGCTGGAAAAGGTGCGTGTGGAAGAAGCATATGATTATTTTCGTTGAAGCAAACTTCAATCCATATGCATTTGTTGCGCGCGCTGGGGATGGAATTTGCTTCCGGCTGTCAGGCGCAGCATTTGTGCGCCAGCAAGCGGACGACTGGGTGATTTTCCTACTCAGAGTTGTTGGCCCGCCAAAATGTGCTTACTAGTTCGCTGTCGCGCGGACCTCTATGCAACATATTTTTTCCAACACGACTAAGGGGAAGCCGTGTTTTATTGTCGAGACGAGATACGAAGAGACCTTTTTTGTGGCACTTGGCGGCTTTCAGATAAACACAGCTGTGCCCGGTTCCTAGAAAAGCGATTTTGTGTCGGGGAGGGGGGGGGAGGAGTTACTACGTGGTCTCAGCGGGGTTCATGAGGTCTAAAGGTTCTTTGTTTGTCATGTTCTGTTTCCATGTCTTCTTTGTAGTTCCCTTACTTATCGCATTTTAATCTACATCGTCAGTCTTCTAATAATCCTAGGAATTCCACGAATAATACAATAGCATGTTCCCTTGCATTGTCAGTATTAGTACAATTTTCTATGGACATATGTTTGATTTTTATCTATATTACTACGTGGTCTACTCCTGTGAAACCATGTTAGTAGAGCCACGCGTCAATGGCGCTGAGCCATGTGTCACCCCAGAATCAAATTGTAAATCCATGCAAACGAGGGGTCCCAACCGCTCCACGCGAGGTTGCGCTGGTGGTGGGTGCTTGGTCCGCGCTCAGCTTGAGCGCGGTCTCCCGAAGTCCACATGCACAATTCTTGCGCGGCGCTGAGCGCGGACTTGGCGTTGAGATGCTTGTTTCATGCCGCAACTGCTGCCATGGAACCGGAGGCCCCAACTGCTGCCATGGACAGGTGGATATCGCCAGTCGGCATGGCGCCTGACAGGTCTCCTAAGAGGATAAGCCCCAGGAACCCACCCTCCAGATGCAGTGCTAGTGGGAAGGGCGGATTTCCAGGGTGATGTTTAGCAACATGTCGATCATGTTTACCCTTTTCTGATTTGATGGTTGCAGGAGGGATTTGATGAATGCCTTCTTGATGTTTCCTGACAAAATCAATTAAGCGGAGAGCATTGACTTTGCCACCAGAGGGAGGACTTGAAGTGGTTGTGATATATTTCCATGTCCACCATCTACACAAGGAGTATTGTCAACCAGACGCATGAAGAGTCAACCCCCGCACATCAGCCATTGGCCGAGGGCTGGCATGGACGATGAGGCCGGCAATCGCAAACCAGTGATGTGGATGTGATGTGGTGGTTTTTGGCTGATTTTCTGTGTGAATCTTTTGGAAAATTGAAGCGAAAGGTTAAACTTTTTGCAAGGCTCAAAGGCCATGTTTTTCGCACTCACCTCTTCCAATCAAGGGCCCGTGGCTTCATAATGTGATACCGCGGTGAAAAAACTTCAAACTCATGATGAGTGCGCCTGGGAATCGCATGTTGCAAAGCTGAATGTGTGTGCCTGCGCACTTCTTGCCTCTTTGAGGTCGGGAGGATGTCGCTTGAATGTCCAACCATTTGATTTGTTTTGACTCCTTTGTATGCCCCAAGACCCTATGGCTTAGTGAATTCGAGTTTTATAGGGTCAGTTGCCTAGTGTTTGTTTTTCTGGGCCTACAAGCGCAAATGCAATGTCCCCTTGTTGAGAACATTGGTTGTAGTCTCTCTGGATGTGACTGGCAGTGGGATGTGGCAGTTTGGCCGCGCAGGTGACGTTCCGACGCGTGGAAACATTGCAGGCGCATGTGTGTGCCGTGTCTGTGTGTGCAGGCGTTCGGGATGGAACAAATAGTCTGTGTCTATGTTTGCTTTTGGCCCCCTTTGCATGCTCCGTGGTATGTGCTCGTTTTTCGTCCCCTGTCAGGCAGGAACAAGGTCAGGTTTCACATGCCCCCCCCCCCACCCCCCCTGCCCGGGCAAGTGCAATGCAGGATGTGCCATTGACCGCTGCCATGTGGGCAGCCATGATGCCAGCCAATGCAGCGGTAAGCAGGGCACTCAGGCGTGTTTGCGGTGAAGCCGTGTTTGCGGTGAAGCCTGATTTGAACAGCGCTTGCGCACAAGCACATGTATGGTCCGTGAAGTCAGTGCGACAATAAGAAACAGACAGCACAGTTGAAATTTGTTGGAAGCCACCAACTTTGTAACTTGGAAGCCAAGAATTTAAAGGTGCCTTGCAGCGCTTACAGCATGCCTGCCCGCTAGCCAGCCTGCGCATGGATTGGAGCATGGTGCCTTGCCAACTTTTTGGCTTGCAAGCTTTATAGTACGGGGGGGATGGTGTCGTCAGTTTGTCCCTGCTACGGGGATGGATGTGGTGGCAGAGGCTGGGGCCATTTACCTTGGGAGGGCAGTGTCTGATGGTAATTGCAACTTCAGATTGGTTTGGATGAGCAGTGGACCAGAGGCGACCCCTTCAGACCCACAATCGATATACTTTGTTTGCGCAATTGGGGCGAACTTGGACTGACCAATCAACTTGTTGGCTGGTGAGCCCATGTGAACCCCTTACGAGCTCGTCATATGGCTCCTTTGCTTGGATCCCTTCAGGTTTTGGAGTTGCCATTGGAATGCCCGGGGAGCTCAAGACTTTGGACTGGTCATTCATGAGCGAGGTTCGACGTTGACGCTTGCCTGTCGCGCGCGGGAGCGTCTTGGGCAGAATCGCGCAGCAAGAAGTAGCCCGCAGGTGTCCGGATTTTCACATGTTTATCATTGTGAATTCCGGTCCAACAGTGGCCAATTAAGCTGGGGGGTGAGTTGTCTGCGCCCCCTGCAGGCCCGCGAGTTCGTGGAACGCCAGATGCGCAGTCGCTTTGCGAAAGTGCGGGCCAAGACGCATCGGCCGGGATGCTTGTGGATGCTTCGCGCCGGCGGAAAACTGGGTGGCATGTTTAAGGGTTCTGAGAAATACTTTTGGGGTGCATCCCTTCAAACATCCATGTAGGACAGAGTGTTTTTTTGGATGTCACATTACTGGACCCAGTCAAAATGGGAACCAGCGACGGTTTGTATTGTCCTCTGTTCATCGTTTGGTGGCAGAATGAGAGGGTCGACCTCAACGGCCCAAAGAAAGACTTGAAGGTATAGCGACCCTTTACGACAACCTCGAATGGAATCGGTGGAGGGGGTGTCAACGCAAGTTCGATGAATGTTGTGGGCGAGAGTGTTTCTTCAGGGGGAGTGCCCTGTGACATCGAGCACCGCAAATGCGGCACGCTTATAACCTATGGCCAGCGGGCCAGTCAGTTGATACTTCCGACCTGCAAGCCATGCCTTCATCATCCTTCAAGCTTGCCTGCCCATCCAGAGTAGGGTGCTTCAGATCCGGTTTCGGGGAAGTGAGATGTTTCATCACTCCAGCTTTTTGAGGTCGGAGGATCCGGCACCTGTCGCCCGCAGGCTGCAGCAGCCGGCGTTGAAGCCAGTGTGCTGCACGGTTGAGGACCAGGTCTTTTCGTGTCGATGCGATCTGACTCGATCCGACGTTTTCGATTCGAGTGCCGAAACGATTTGACCGATCCGATTCGACAAACCTTGAGTGCTTTGGGGGCTCAACTGGTGGCAGTCTCTAGAAGGAGCATGCTCGCAGATGCGTTTTCTGGGGGCGCAACTGTGGCAGTCTGGAAGGAGCATGCTCCCAAATGCGTTTTCTTTACCAAGGAAAAAACATCTAGACAAGCGGTGGAATCTGAAGACTTCCGGGCGCAACTGGCGGCAGTCTCTGGAAGAAGTAGTAGCAGTAGTAGTCGTAGTCGTAGTCGTAGCAGCTGCTGTGTTGAGTCCCGCGAGGCCAAGATCGAAAGCGAGTATTTCATAGCCATGCGGGAACAATGGTGCTGAGGCAAGGGCTTCAAACAACCGCAATCCGAGAAAGGAGTGGTTTGCAGAAAAACTCGTGATTCAAAACCATCCTGAAAAGGGTGCCTTCAAAAACACGCAAATCCATTTGTTGTCTAGCTTTGTCTCCTTCAGGAGCAGAAAGCGACGGAGACCAGACCCCTGCTTCTGACTAGCGCTGGCCTCAAGATGTCAAACTTAGTAAGGGGCTGCGCACCAAGCCACCAGGCCAAATGGGTGGACAATGGTGGACATAGCCTCTCAGTGCATCAAGTTACTTGGCGCCACTTGCTTTTGCGCCTCCGTTTAGTTGGGTTGCTACTGAGCGCATTTTGCCACGCTTAGCCTGCACATGGCAACCAAAAGCCGACTGCAACTGACCAAGAAAAACAGGATGTGAACCATACGTTTGGTTAAGGCCTAGTTGAACCAAAAAGGCAGTCTACACGCTCAAGTGTCGTGACCGCTTGGTCGTGAGGGTATGCTCTCTTCAATCATGCCCAAAAGTACTCTGGGGCAAAAAGGCGTTTGGACCAAGAGAGCTCAACATGTCCCAAGGTCATGTTGCATCAGTGTCATGGCGTCCGAAAGAATTCTGAGAGAGACCTGCTTTCGCTCAAGCGAATGCTTGCCCTTGGTTCCGAGGCAAGTCCAAAGCGACGAAGCGGCCGCCTGCAACGTGGCAGCCTGGGGGTCGGGGCGGAAGGGGGGCGTTGCGTCGACTCACCCTGACGAAAGCAATCCAGAGGTGCCACCGTTTACAATTTAATGTCGCAAGCATGTTGCAAGCAGCGCTTCAACTTGCCCCACATTGCTTTTTAGTGTTTGTTGTTTCACCCAACCCCTGATGAAGAGGGCCGCGCATTTGAAGGAGACCTGCGAGCAGCAGGGGAGGCGCTACCTTGCTTCCTTCCGTAGTCTCAGCTCGCCAGGGATGCCCAGTCGTAGTTGTTCAAGAGCTGGGTGCTAGATGGCCCACATTTTTTGGTTTAGCCAGAAAGGCAAACCGAAAGGGGATGGGTGGTTTTTAATGTGTCCCGACCCTCTCTATTACCATCTATTAACCCAGAGCCGCAGGGTTCCACGAATGTTTGTTTCAATTCTTTCTCTTGGCACTGTTTCGCTGTTCCGTGAGCCAGGCCGTTCAGGTGGTCGCCCATTGCTCTTGCCCAGTACACAATCAACCAACACAATTGGTTATGGTGGACCTCCCCTTTCCCTGCCGACTGGCAAGTTGTGACCACGCTCTTTGGGCTGGCTGCTTTGGACAGTGGACAGCCCAGCTTCAAATGATGTTCAATCAGCATCCATGTTTGCCAGGCGATCATTTCAGAGTGCCGGTCTGCTATCCCAGCTTGCACTTTCAACATCAAAGGGACATAGTTAACAAACCCCGGAGCATCGGAACCCAGAGGGGATGTCTCAACTTGATCCAGATTGGGCAAAACTAGATCCAAAGGGGTCAGGTTTTTGGTGCTTTTCAACACTGGGGCCCTTCAGTTGTTTGGTTTCGTTTGATTCTTTTCCAAAACCGCCCACAAAATGGACCCCCTTTTTTGAGAACGCTTTGGGCGATGAGGTGTCAGCGTTTTCCTTCAAGTGCCGTCCCTCCCGTGCTCCGCGCCTGGACCGCGACGGCTTTGTGCTTAGCTCCTCCTTCGGCTCGCGGTCGCTACCCCCGGGAACCGCGCAATGCGCGGCCGCGGAGACAGCAGCGCCCAGGCGCGGGGAAGGAACGGGGGAACAATTGCTTGACCATTTTGGGAGATTCATCCCTCCAACTGTGGCAGAAGAATGTCCATGCGCGGTAAGTAATCAGGGATTTTTCCTTTTGGGATTCTTGAGGTTTCGGGCGGCGCGCAGCTGTAGTTTTGTGAACTCACCTGATGTCCGACTAGCATGTGCCTGGGTATCGCTCAGCTTGATGAATCCCGTGATAGGGAACTGAACGCAGAGCCTCACTCCAACTCCCAGCAGCTCGGTGCACTCCGCGCGGCCCGGCTCGGGCATTGGACCGCATCCGCCTTTCACCATGCCAGGTTGGAAAGCCGCAACGCTTGGTCACCTTGGCAGGGCGCCCAGAGCACCGGATGCGAAGTGCAGATGGGTGTGTTTTTGGAGGCTAGCGCTCTGAGGTTGGTTGAAGAGGGAACCAAAGGAAACCCAGACAGTTTGGTTGAACACACGCCCTGTCGCGGGGGCCGGCTGGGAGTCGCTGCTCAACCCTCCCGTTGCCCATGTCCCCCCTTTTTGTGCCAGGCTCGGACATCCGAGCTATTCTTGCAAACAAGACTTGCTCTATTGACAAAAAGGGGTTGCAAGCGGCCTGCGAGTCCTGATCTCCAAGATCTTCATGTGGGGCAGCGATTCATGGGGGTCAACAGAGAAATGTCACCAAAGCAAAATGGGGTCAGAATTGGACCGCCCGGGTTTGATGTTGATTTAGAGCTTCCACAGCACCAGCCTAGGGGTAAGTTCCCCATTCTTTTCGACCGGCTTTTTCCAGAAGACCAACCGGAGCAAACCGCTGGTGCTTGCAAAGGAGGATGATGAAAAGCTCACTTCTTGGGAAGACCACTTTGGTGGCAAACATAAAGTTTGGACCTTTCTGGGCCATCCACTCAGCAAGTACGAAAGACTTGAACACTTTCGAGTTGTGGCCACTGCCGCCCGCAAAGGTCCCGGCGCCCCAGCGCGGCACACGTGCCGCGCGAGGAAGCCCAGCGGATTTTCTGCCGGGGTCGCGGGGCAAGGCTTTGAATGGGTCTGGCTTCGCTACCAAAGGAACTACATGCCCTCTCCGTTTTTTTTGTTTTTGTTTTTTTTGTTCATGTAGCCGTGGAGCACAAAATGCGATCGTAAGGGAATCTCTTTGTGCGAGTCCATGCTGATTGGCCCAATATATATATATATATATATATATGTCTGTATTTATATATATATATATATACATATATATATAGTATACATTTATACACACCCATCTTCTCGCCTTTTTCGTTGTCCCAAGCCGCCCTTTTTCTGGCAACAACAGGCCAGACAGTGAAGCCCTCGAATCCGGGGCGGATGTTGTCCAATGACCGCCCCCTGCCCGAATTCGCCAGATCATTGGATGAAGTCCTCGAGGGCTGGTCAAGCTGTGGCTCAGCTTGGAGGGGGTTTGTTTGACAGCGCGTGCTTTCAAGTGTCCCCTTCAATGATATTTTGTTTGGCCACAACATCACCTTCACCAGCTGGGCATTCCCAACAGAAAAATCTCATCCCTGCGCTCCCAGAGCCCGCGTGTGCCAAGCGAGCGAGCGCACTGGATTTGACGCCCTCAGATTCACACGGCAACTGCCTCCATCCTTGGACCCAACAGTCATTTTGAGAACTTCTCAGGATGTACCCTCCAACTAACAAAGGCCCTATCCAAGCGGAAATTATTCTTTCTACAGGGGTCTGTGCACTTCCATGTTAACCACTTCAAGGGGCCGAGCAGTGCGGCCCCATGTCCCCGATGCCGCACCACGAGGCTTCAGCTTCGGCTCAGTTGGGAGCGACGGCACCGAGGCGAGTGGGCGCTTCGCTCGGCGTGACGTTTGCTTGGTTTGGTATGGCTCTGTTCGTATCTTTCGTGGGCGGCGGCCAAAATTGTCGGCTTGTTCTTTCTTTGTTTTTGTGTTGTTCCCCACATGCCATGGATTGGACAAAAATAAATTAGGGGCCTGAATGATTGCAAGCATGATGAACATGAGCAACCTTGGTGTAGAGGACACCCAAATCCAAATCCCCATTATTTGGCCAAATGTTGGCCCCTTGTAGTTTGACCTTTTCTCGTTTGTAGGGCAGTCAAAGCCATTTCCTCTTCCCTGAAAGCTTCGCCGACGTGCAGCTTTCAGCCTGAGCCCGAAATGGTGAGAGGTGGCTATAGACTGGGCTGACAAGGCGAATTCTGAGTTGGGTGCTCAACCCACGTTGAGCAGGGCTCCCATTTCCCTTTTGCTCGCCTCCGAGGAAACTTGCTTGAAAAGGGGCTAGAAGGTGTCCGACGTAAGCCATGAAATTGGGTGCCCTGAGTAAGAAATCTTAAGCTTCCGGCTCCTAGGCCCTCCCCTTCCTACGCCTAAACATAAGCTGGTTCCCAGGTAATGGAATTGCTTGGAGCTTTTGGTTTTGGTGCGAAGTTTTGGTGCTGATGAAGTTTGGGATTTTGGAATTGTTTGGAGCTTTTGGTTTGGGAATGTGGGAACCAGTGGCTGCAGGGCTTGGCCATTATTCTGGGTACTGCTACTATTGTAGGGGGGGGACCGCTTGCTGAGCCTTGCTGTGCAGAAGTCCACGCAAGGATGAAAAGTCTAAGGTCTTCAGTACTCAGAAGCTGAGTACTTGGGGTTGCAAGTTTTGGTGCTGGTGAAGCGTGTTGGAGCTCTGGGTTTGGGAATTGAGCACTTCTGAAACTCAAAGACAACCCCCAGTAGGGGGGTTGCTTTGATGTGGGGGAGGCAGTGCTGGAGTCCAAGAAACCTTGTGTTTGTTGGTTTGAATTGCAATTAGTATTGGGGATAGTATTCGAATTTTGGGAGTTCTGGCCTCGGAAAAGTTATTATTCCGGGGGGATTTCTTGTGTCAACTGGGGCACCAAGACTAAACGATGTATTGGTAAATTAAAATAAGTATTGGGTTTTTTCTGGCCCGGGGCGAGAAAAAGTCATTATTCCGGGGGGATTTATTAATCAAGTCCTAAGATTAAATGCTTGCTTTCACGTTGGATCTTTGCACAACTGTCCAATCGTCTTTTTTTTCCGGGAGGTTTGGGTGCAAATTAGTTTTTGGACTTTGTTTTCCTTGTTGGCAAGATCATTGCGCCCCGGTGCAAACCCAGGCATTTGGGTCCTCTACGGTGACATCCTCAAATTTACCCTCTGGGGGGGGTTCCAGGTTCCAAAATGGTTTCCCATCCCGCAGAATTTTGAGGACCCGTCAAAAGGCAACCACTTCAAGTTGGGTTTGCGTCTCGATTTGGAATTCCCAAGGTGGCGGGCTCCCCACATTTCCCCTCGTAGTTGAAGCATCAGCTTTTGGGCCAACTTGCAGTGAGTGTGCTCGGGACGTGAATTCCGTCCTTTTTTTCTGGGGGCCCCTGTCAAACGACCAGCGGACACAGACAGCAAGACCACAGGACTTTTTGCTGTGAGTTCCTTTTGGTGGGGCGTGTAATGTCCAAAACATGAAAGAGAAAAAGAAGAAACAACACAGAGAACCCTGTCAAAAAAAGAAGCACTAAAAAAACACGTCCCCCCCCCCCCCGTGCATGCCTTTTTGGGAAGGCCTCACTGACCTACAGCAGCTGCCACGGCAGCTGCGTGGGGAGCCGCGTGGCCACCTGGGGAAACATTGGATGCACTGGCGTCATGGAAGCCGAGGACGAGACACGAGAGGACCCGGTGTTATAGGTGTCCTTTTCGGTTGTGGTCGAAAAATAGATGGGCTTCGATTCCTGGTTTACCTGGTGGTTTAATCATCTACCAGGGAAACCCATCTATTTCGCCTAAAAGGACACCCATGCCCGGTGGGCCAAATTGGTTTTACACCCCTAATACGAAGTGGGGAGCAAACCCCTGATTAGTACCCTCCTTTTGTAACGTCAGGTTCCTTGCACAGGAGTAACGGGAGCTTCCTCCAAGAATCACGGAGACGATTTTCCTTTTTGGGAAGCCCTACGCATTCTTTCTTGCCTGTTGACCTTGCAAAACTGTTGTTGTTTGTTGCATTCAAAGAGCTCGCCGACACGCGCAAGCATTCTGAGGACGAAACACATCGGACCTGCTGAGATAACCTGGCAGCAAAAGCGTAGACTCTTGCAGCAATGAGCAACAAACCGACAGAATGTGGAGAGATATCCACCTGGAGTCACGCAAAAGGCAAGCCGAGCTGAGTTTCACACCAAGAAAGCCCTTGAACTGGGGTAAGCATGAGAGAGGTGCAGTCCTGGTGCCGGACAGACACCACGATTTCCAGGCCGCCGTTTGAGTTATTGTTTTTAGGATCAATTGTCCCGCACGGGCAAGATGGGGAAGCCGGAAGCCGGAACTGTGCGAGGAGTCAGATGCGGGCCAGGTTTGCGCAGTGAAGACCTTGACATTATCATCCATCCTTCACAAGGCCTGGGTTGTCAGGGTTGGGCCAACTTGGCTGAAAGGGTCTGTGGGCCCTAAGAGAAGCCAAAGGGAGGTGGTTTTTGCAGCAGTAAGGGTTCCAAAGAAGGGATTGGCCGGACCCAGGTGTTGGGTTTACCAGTCGACGCCTGTGAGTCATAACTGGCACCTCCATGTTCAGGCTGGCGAAGAAAAACACATGAAAAAGCCCTGTGTTGGGCGGAGATAGCTGATAGGTTTGCGGAGGACATGCCCCCATTTTCGACAATTTCAATGGAATGCTTCGTGGTAGTCATATTTTATTTGGCTCAAAGATTGTCTTTCACCGGCCGGTGGAAAAGGAATCAAATGGTGCCTTGGCTTGTATGGATCTGCCCCCGAGGCCCGAGGCTCCTTTTATGTGTGGAATCTCGCTTGGACACCTTCTTGAAGTGATTAGGCCTATCGGGGGCCCCCTCAAAGAATCCTCATTCAAAGGTCAATCCTCATTTTTTTGAATGGCTGCTAGGAGGAAATGTCAATCCTCGATCAAATGTCCATCCAAGGGGTGCTCTATTGAGATTCACACCCAAGTGCCTCGACGCCGCGCAGGCCCTCGCCGAACTTCCACTACGCTTCACCAAACCACTAGCCTTGAAACAAAAACCGTGTGTATACATAGAAAATATTGCACAGAAGGTACATACATAGTATTCTATGCAGAGTGGTTATATAGAAGCTGTAATCGTTTTTTTGATTGCTAAAAATAGTTTTTCTTGATTGTCAAAAAAGTTTTTTTGATATCCTTCCCTTAGCAGTCTGGGGGTAGTGGAAACCATCTTAGGCAGTTGTTTCATGGCTTACGCAACGTCCAAATGCGCCGCTCCCATGATTCGCTTTGGCCTGGGTGAGGCGATTGGTTCTGTTAAACGTGGCAGCAATGTGAAGCCGAACCGCCTGTCATTTTCGGTGCAGGTCCCCAAAACAAACGGATATGCAAGCTTGAAGTAAGAGGGTGAAGCAGGTTGCTGGTATTGTTGAACATCGTGGCTGTTATGGGGTGGGTTCTCCTCATGTCCCCCACAAGCCGATCCATGTACGTGCACCAGGGATCCAACCTAGACAGAGAAGCCTTCCCTTTGAAGAAGTCCATGCAAATTGTGTAAACTGTCACTGTGGTCAGGTACCAGGCTGTTTTTTCCCAAGACTACCAGCGACAAATTGCGGCAACGCCATCATCATCAGTTTTGAAAAGGCTCAAACAGTTTGAGTCAGTAAATGTCCCTCGTGGCAGGGTGGTGGGGGTCCTTGTCTCGCACACAGCGTCAGGAGCCAGAGGTGGAGGTTGCATCTCGGCAGCGTGCGGCGTGTGAGGTGTCGCTGTGAAGCTGTCTCAAGCGGGAGGGTACGAGAAACGGGAGGAAGGCAGCCAGCGGAAGGAGCACAGTCATGCATTTCTACACGCACACCGGCACACGCGCACGCAGGGACGCACGCACGCAATCACGCACGCACCACGCACAGGCACAAGCACAGCACACAATCACAGAGACAGACTGCAGGCCCCAAGTGGTTGCAAGTAGCGCGTGTGAAGCAAGCAGAGCTACAGGCGCTGTGTCATGGAGCCGACCTGGTTGAAACCATGCGCCTCACATCAGTTTGCCTTCTCGCCGAGTGCGGCGAACGACGCACACACGCACACACGCACCCACGCACGCGCGACACGCATTTGTCTGACATGCACACTTACACGTGCGTGCAGCAAGAGACAATCACACAACGCGCAAATGGACACATCCACACACACACAAAGGTTCGCACACACACACACACACAACAGGCGCACGCTTCTGCGTACAAGCAAGCAAGCAAGCAAGCAAGCAAGAAAGCAAACAGAGCGGCAGACAGACACAAGGACAGAAATAGAGGCAGAGACAGAGACAGAGATAGACAGGCAGGCAGGCAGACACACATTCACACATTCATATACATTCATACATTCAAACATGCATGCATACATACACACATGTAATCACATATACATACATATACATACATATACATACATATACATACATATACATACACATACATACACATACATACATATACATGCATACATGCATACATGTATGCAAACAGACGTACGTACGAACATTGCGTACATACGTACATACAAATACGTACATACATACGTACGTACTTACGCACGTACATACGTACATACGTACATACAAATACACCCATATGCACCCATATGCATACATATACAGTCATATACATACATATACATACATATACATACATATACATACATATACATACACACACATACATACATATACATACATATACATGCATATACATACATACATGCATTCCTATCTGCCTAACTATCTACCTACCTACATGCATACATTCTCATACACTCATGCATGCATACATCCTCACACACACATACATACACTCTCATATGCATAATGCACATACGCAGACACATGCACGTGCACATGCACGTGCACACACTCACACATACATACATACATACATACATACATACATACATACATACATACATACATACATACATACATACATACATACATACATACACACACACATACATACATACATACATACATACATACATACATACATACATACATACATACATACATACATAGGAAGACATGTTTTGCCCGAAAGTGGTGGCAACTGGCGTCGTGTCTTAGGCTCGGCGGCTGTCCTGGGATGAGCAGGCCAAATGGAGGCGGGCATGGAGACCGAGGCTTGCCATATCGCTATATTTCTGCCGCGTGTCTCTTTCCCGATTTGCCCAAGAATAGTTCTCATTAGGGTGGGCGTATTTAGTTTTATGGGGTAAGTTGCCAATTTTTGAAAGCTAAGAGGAGCGCTCCAATTTGATTGATGTTTCGGGCACGGGGCTCGCGGGGTCAGGTCCAGCTTCAATCGCTTTCGCCATGACGGGGAGATACACAAGGATGACTTGATCAATGCCCTGGAGCATTGCGGTGGCCTGGCAATATGGATGGCCCGGCAAGATTCGTTTCATCGGGGTCTCCTCCATTTCCCTTTTTGGAAGCTCCAAAAGTGGCAGTTTTAGTGGACACCAGTCAAGTTGCAACTTGTGAAGGGGAAATCTAGTGACCACTGTTCAGCACCGGGATATTTCCCCAGTTCCAAAAATCGTGGACGTTGACACGCAAACCTTTGAGTCCCTTCATCCGACCAAGGCTCCTTGTACACATCCATGATTGCTGGCAAAAAACGCCCGCTGTCGCTTCTTAGCGGCAGTGGTTTGGAGCAACGCTCTTTCTTCAGGTGCTCAGAAGGGGGGAGGTCGGTGCGCTCAAGTTAATTTGCATCCACAGTTGACGCAAGATGCTTGCACATGTTGGCTCCCCCTCCCTCCCCTCCCCAAACAAAATGGAAGGACAAACAACCAAACAAACGGCTGCCCCTTGACAAATGTCAGTTGTATATCCTAGTTGTATATCCTGTGTGTTGGTGGGGCTAACCGTTGATCCTTCAAAGCCAACCTTAACCTCGGCATTCTCGATGAGAGTCAACGGTGGGGACTTGGTGATGGCTGGAAACCTGCTTTGTGCTTCGGGTAGGGTCGGTATTCCACATGGCTCAGGCGCTCAGGTTGGTTCACGCAGATGCGCGTTGGCCATATCTCCCGGGAAGCTAGAATCGTCTGCCATCCGCTAGATGCCAAGTTTTTGGCGGCTGCCTGTTTTGAAGGGTTCATGCTTCAAGGATCTGTCCTGGAGTGAGGGTTGTTTCGAAGCTATGGCTTTCGCAGCTGGGTAGCCTGGACTTTCGACCAAGCAACTGGTGCAGAACATGCGCCTCAGAAGAGCCCAATGTCGTGGACCGGAGCACAAACCGCAAGAGTTTCCGATGCCCGGAATCCAAGATCTTTCCTTTGGCACCGAAAAACTTCCTTCGAGCGGAGCTGGACGACCTGGAGGCACATCAGACCCAAAGCCGGGCATCTAATCCCTCGCCAACGTCTGGACGAGCCAGGAGGAAAAAAACAAACAAGGCAAAGAGGCCTCGATTCTGCCTCGCCTTTAGGCTTCCAACCTGCTCTAGACGGGGATTCTCTGAAACTCTCTAAATCAAGAGGTGATCTTCCGACTGGCCCAAATGCTTCTTGGTATCGCGACCACTCAAGCGGTTGCGATCTCACCCATCAAGGTTCTTTGTTGGGGAGCCCAAGTTTTTCCGTTAGGTGATGTTTGTAGAACTCTTCCAGACCCTTCCGTGAGAGCTTTAGCAGTATGACTGTAGGGGTTGTGCCATTTGGGGGTGGGTCAAAATGAAACCAGCCGGGGCCCGCAGGTTTGGTTCTTGTTTCCCTTCACCAGGATTCCATGTTGGGCACCCTATTTTTGACCCTATTTCCCACCCACCACAAGGATCATGAGTATTTGACATTCTCTTTGTCGGTCCATTGGCAGCCTATAGCACCCTATTGGCTGTGGGTCAAAGCCGTTTTGGGATCATTTTGGGATAGGTGAATTCACCACCCATTTGAGAACCTATTTTGGTGGTTGGATTGGGTGTTTAGTGGGGGTACGATTTGGGTTTTGACCCACGCCCATCGCCCAGGCTTCGACGACCGGCGCCCGGATCTGGTCCAAGAGACGCTGGTCCAGGTGACCTCCTATGCGGCCCTGGACCGCCCGGGGCCCGGGACGGGAGTGAGCGGCCATGGGTTGGAGGGTCACGTGGGCAAGAATTTCTGGGGCCTCCAGAAATGTAGGTTAATGTAGGTTACATTTTTCATTTTTCATTTTGGGGCTTCAAGTTTTTATGGAAGAGACTCAGACCAAAGGAAGACTTCTTGGTGCAGAGTTGGCTGGTGGTTGTTTGTTTTTCCTCTTCGCCTGGGACCTCAGGCGAAGAGTTCCTGCGCTTCGTGTGCCTCTACGAGACTCGGCTCCACGAGCTCTACCGCAGCGAGTTCCACAGGTACGCCAGCGAAGGCCCCTCGATTGGCGTAGCTCGGTGGCGGGCATTGGCCATGGGTCAAAACCGTTTTGGTGGATCCCATTTTGGGATAGGTGAATTCACCCCGTTTAGAACCTATTTTGGTGGTTGGATTGGGATGTTCACCGGAATTGCGGGATTTTGGCCCATGGCGAAGTTCCGTCAACATTGCTGGTAGCCTGCGGTCCTTTTGTGGTGGGGATGGGGGGGCAAATATGGTTTTCTCTTGGTGGGGATGGGGGGCATGGGGAATCCTCGCCCAATCCAGGGGACACACCACATTATTCCCCAAGCAAGTTTGGCAGTTTCAGTTCGGCCAAGTTATGCCAGCTCTAAATGTGTGTGTGTGTGTGACAGATTTGCTTGGTCTGTTTATCCGTATTTTGCCCCCGACATTGCATCCGCATTTTTTGAAACGCCGGGAGAAGGCATTGCCACTTGGACGAATCCAGGCAGGAAATGGTTGGGAGTCGGTCACCATGTTTTGGGGCTTAAATCCGAACTTGCTATCGGTAGTCACTGGCTACTCATGTGAAGGCTATGTGCAGGTTGGCTTAGGAGTAGTGGCTTAGTGTTTGGGATGGGTTTTCTTTTGTCGAGTGGGTTGTTGCCGATCAACGTTGATTTTATTACGCAGCTGGAGCAAACCCAAAGAGTTTCTACATGTGTGGCTTCACCCAACACACTGCTCATGCAGTCCCGATGTTCGACAACTGGTGTGCATACTTTCTGCCGCTTGGTGCAAGGCTTGAGCTGAGCATAGTCAAGGCAACGATGTGTGGGTGTGGGTGTGGGTGTGGGTGTGGTGCCGCGCCGCGCCGTGCCGTGCCGTGCCGCGCCGTGCCGCGCCGCGCCGCACCGCGCCGTGCCGTGCGGTGCGTGTGCGTGTGCGTGTGCGTGTGCGTGTGCGTGTGCGTGTGCGTGTGCGTGTGCGTGTGTGTGTGTGTGGGTGTGTGTGGGTGTGGAAGTGTGTAAGTGTGTGTGTGTGTGTGTTTGCTTATTGTGGGCTTGCCCTGGCTGAAGCAGCCCTCTTGCATGGATCCTTCTTTCAAATAAGTCTGAAGGGTGGGAAGGTGGGAAGGTCACTATGCCTCAAAATTGTGAATCGTTTTTTTTTTTTTCCCCTTGTGGTTTTGGGATGAACAGGGAGAACTAAGCAATTGCAGGGCCGCCATGCATGTCGCACGTGAACGCTAACAAATGCTACGTAACAAAGAGCTAACCAACAGATATTCAAGCTGCGCCCGTCTTCATCCAATAGGTCCAAGAAGGCAATATTCACAATTGTACGACCCCCGCACCCAAATTCCTTAGTGGATTGCGTTGCCCCCCTTACCACCAGCCAAATGGTCAATCTTGGCTAGGTGCGAAAAAGCTTCGAATTCAACTAAACAAGGCCCTCCCCACGTTTACAGAAAGAAAAACAGAGCAGCAGCAATCAGGTTGCGCCCTAACATTCAGACCTCCTGTTAGGGAACCATGACTACTCTGGTTCTCAGTGGGGAATGACTTTCTAGCCGTTCCTTCGGGATAAAAATCAAATGGGGTCATTCAGCCCAAGGTTGGCTGAGAGAGCATCTGGGCCACAACCAAAACCCGGGTAGATGAACGTTAGTAAGGGACAATCCCAACCATCAATAGTTGCGGCCGGCTTCTTAATTCTTTACGTGGCGCGTAGACCATTTTGACACCGGGCTTTGATGACTCTGAGAGCAATCACTCACTTGCCCAAAGCCGACCTTTTGACCTTTTGGTTTTCCCATTTTGGGATCCCATTCTTCGTAAAGGTCCCAAAAGGTTCACCTTTTATTTCCAGGTCCCATAGGGGCAAGTGAGAGCCAAGAACTGCGAAACCGCCAGGCGTGATGCGCGTCAGCGGCCTCCCGCAGCTCCTCCAAGAGTTCGGCCTCGAGCCCCGCGCCTCGGCCGCGATGGCGGAGGTCCAGCGTCCACCCGCCGGAGGGGGGGGGGGTCAGAAGGCCCGACCAGTGGAAGACACCGAGCACAAAGAGACCCTGAAACGGAGGTGAGATGGGGGAATGTCTATAGTCCATATTTTCTATGCCGTACAAAGCTTCTGTTGCCAATAGGGTTTCCACTACCGCAACCACTTCCAAGCTATATCCTGAAAGGAGCTTCCCTTGGGCCGACTGGCGTGGATTAAGATGACTAAGCAGGTTTGTCGTATTCCACCATATGCCCCTAGATTTAGATGTTCCGCAGGTTGGATAAATTTTGGATGGTAGCCTTTGGGTTTTAAACAAGTCAGGCCAAAAGGAAACCACCCACTTTGGGTTAGTTACAGCTTCCACTTGGACTTTGGTCCATCTTAAACATGGACCCCCATTTTCGAACCCTCATTTGCAGAGGGAATGGTTTTAGGTTTTTTTTGGGGGGGTTCCATGTGAGTTTCCAGGCTGGCGAACGAGAGGCGCACTCTCCAACCTTTGATCCCCACCTTGAGGGGGGCGGCGGTCCAAGTTCATCCTACCCCATTCCGGTTGCCTTCAGTGGTCGTTGTCGTCACTGGTCTTTGCCTGTCAATTCTTTAGTTTCTTGGTTCTCACTGGGAGTTGTTTGTTGGTTTTTTAATCGTTTGGTTCTTTGTGTTACTCTTGGCGAGCTGCAACAACACGAACAAACGGAGCCTCTAAACCACCTGGAAGTGATGCTTATGCCCCCCCCCACTGGGTGCGTGAAAAGTCAAATCCCCTTGCAGCGGTTTTCCTTTTCTTGAGGCCGCTATGTGCTGCAAGAGCTCCTCTCGGAGACGCAGAGGCCCGGATTTTGTTTGATCTTCGGGGCCGGTTTTGGGAGGGAGGGGGGGTGCGGGGAAGCTGTGAATGGTGCAAAACAGCCTTGAAAATCCGAGGGTATGCGTGAAGATATGGCTGTGGCTCCAAAAAAAAACGGTACCCAAAATGGAACCCTGGTAGGTGGAACCATGGACCAAACCTGCGTAACCCCTCCTGTTTAAATTTGAGCCACACCCATATGTGAACATCAGAGGGGAGACTTGTTGAAATGAGCACGAAAACCCGAGGATAAGCATGAACGGTAGCATGTTTGAAATGAGAGGCTGCAGCACTTGAATCGGAGGGTAATGGATCGGCGGCAGCCAGTTCTCTTGGACCTATCTGTTGAGAGCCATCGTTCCCCACCCGCGTTTTGAAGATGGGAGATGTTCGCGCCAGGGACCCTTTTGGTCGGTAGCGCCAAACGTAAACCAAATGTTCAGGGGACCCGTATCTTGCGCAACACTCATTGTGGCTGTACTGGGTGAAGCACTCCCGCACCAGCGCGTGGGTTCGCCCAAGACCATTTCTCTCAAGGCCAAGTGTTGGGGTATATCACTGTATCGCAGATGGTTTCCAACACCTGGCATCGACCTGACGAGAAGAACCGCCGCTTCTTGATGTTCAATGTTGGGCAGAAAGATGAGCTGACTGATTTCAATTCAAGGAGTGAGAAGGCTTCCCCATCTAGAGTTCGCACATGGCTAACCTAGGGACCCAGGAACGATATTAGTTGTCTTCCATTCTCCAATGGTTGGCTTTGAATTCCCCGCGACGCTCCTTGCTTGATTGGCTTCGCGCTGGCCTGGTTTTGCCAGCACTCAGTGTTGGAGCTCTTTCCTACTTACCAGCAACCAGGGGTTGGCTATGGTTGACTCTTGCGCGGATTTTGCAAGTTTCTCAAACCTGGTTCGCTTCCTCCCGGGTTGCCCTACCATCCAACAGCAGGTCCGGAGTTCCTGCCTTGGGGCTGGAACGAGCTCGGGCCCCATGAGGAAGTTTTTCTTATGCCCGCAATTCCGGTAGGTTGGTGAAACACAATATGTAGTCGTGCAAAAAAATCAAACCTGCCGCATCTTGCTTGGAGAAGCCAAAGCGCACCGCCCCCTCATAGCCCGGTGAGAAGCCGGGGGATGGACAATGTGCAAGCTTGTGAGGCCCGTGCGCCCAAGAAATCAGAAACAAGACTCTCGTTTTAAAGGGACTTTTGCGGGAAACCCTCTTGTTCAAAAGTAATTCCCAATTGAAATCCATCCCCATGTCTGAAAAAGATACACGCCTTGCCCCCAATCTTTTCAGGGCCCCTTACAAAGCCAGCTGCTACGCCACCTTGACCAGCTGCAGAGGATTTCTTGCGAAGCAAGCGGTTTTTGGCTGCATCCTTCAAGGAGCATCTGGATTTCCTCCCAAAACCGCGCCCACCGACCCACCGACCCCACCAACCCACCCACCGACCCACCCACCAACCCACCCACCGACCCACCCACCGACCCACCGGCCCACCCGACGCCGCCGCAACTTTCTCAGCTCCGAGCACCTGGAGTTCCACGACGTGGCGAAGATCATGGAGCTCCTGCGCGCCAGGGAAGGCGGGGGCAAACGGCTCCCAGCGGTCCCAGCTGGTTTTGGTCGCAGAAAGGCAGAGGGACACCTGAAACGGTGGGTTTCCAAAGAAGAGTGGCTTCAACTTCAGATTTTTAAACATGTTTGAAGGGTCGGCCCCACAGTGGAGTACTGCAGTGTGACGCAAGTGAGCGAGCTTCCTTCAATTCTCACCGCGGTCAGGTTGCCGAAAGGAACAACGGCTTGCGGAGGGGGAAAAGAATGGCCGGCACCAGTTTGATACATTGCCGAAGGGAACCCGCTGGCGAGCGGAGTCATTTTGAGAAGACCTGTGTTGCGCTTCCGGACAGCTGGCCTCAAGGTGGCTTCGCTTCACAATATCAGAACTTGTGCACGCTTGGGTCGCAGGGAGGTTCGACTCCCCAGCCGTGTCCGGGATGGACTCCTTTGCCACCCCTTCGCAGGTTGTGGGATTGCTCCCTTGCAAGCGAACGGGGGATGCGACAGAAGTCTCCCAAGGAGTCTGATTAATTTTCTAGGGGCGCCGGCGAATAGACACCTTCACCAAACGGAAATCGGGGATTGGGTAGGGGAATGGATCGGGGCGAAACACGGGAAGCCACCTGATTTGCTAAACTGATCAGGGTGGTTGAGACCCTCCGGGGGAAGCCATTTGTGCACTCGCGCATTTATGCCCTTAGTATGTTCGGCCAGCACATGCTGACTCAATTGAGTTAAACACTGGGCCCGGTTGGGCCGAATTGGAGGAAACAACCAGAAGGTACCCTTCGGGAAAACAAAAAGAGGTTGTCAAACGCGGGCTTGGCCCAAAGAATGATTTATTCACATCTGCGCTAGGTTCCTGGGTGCAAATTAGCCCCTAGGTTGAAACAAATCCCCAAAAGAAAGCCAACAAGGGGCCATGGAACATTCCATCTTTTTCTTCCGGATCCACTTGTCAAAGACACCCAATGAGGATCTCCCCCCTCCCCCAGAGAAGCTTCCCCCTAACCCCCCCACCCCCCCACGGCAAGCTGCGTCCAAAGGCTTCCTGGTGGCGGAGTTGGAGCGGTTCCGCCGGGTCTTCCAAGACTTCGACTCCGACGCCTCCGGGGACATGTCTGTGAACGAGCTGGGCAGCGCGTGCCCGGGATCAATCCGGACCCCAATTTTGAGTCTGAGACACGAAAGGTTGACACGAATGTTGGCAGGATGTTGCTGGACATATTGGGCATGTGTGTTTTTAGAAACATGTGTTTGGCGCCAGGTCGGCAGACGGTTGACTTTGAGCTTGGGTCTTGGGATGGTGTTCGCTTGATTTGGTGGGGCTTGCGCAATGCCAAGGGGTGGCCTCTTACCCGCCTCTTACCCGCCTCTTACCCGCAAGGGAATTGCACCCTCTACTTTCACCCTGGTGTATTTGTTTTGCTTTCCCTTCCCTCCACGTCGTCCTGGCCTGCACTTCACCGGCGCAACTGGAATTTCCAGTCGGGGCTCCTCGGAAGGGGCCCGATGATGTTTCCCCCTTGAGGCACCTGGCTGCTCACCGAAGCCGGTGTTCTTTTTGGCGGCGGGTTCTCTGAACTGCTTTGTTCGCGCAAACGGTCCGGCAGCATGCTAAGTGTATTGTTTTCGATCGCAATCAGTTTTAACGTTTGAAAGGGGTAGTCAATCCGGCGGCCTCATGGCAAAGTGCTCCTTTACACGGGTCTGGACTCAATTTATTAAAATGTCGTGGTTGACCTCGGCAAACACGTCAGGTTTAACCAGATCCTTTCCTCCTTGGCCTGCATTCTAGAAAATGCTTCTTGTGTGACAAACGGAGAAAAGCTAGGACGTTGACCACTGCCTCTTTTGTAAAATCAATGTCCCCCCCAGCTCTCGATCGCTGCATTCTAGCCTGAAAGAGGGTCAGCATATTAGGGGTGTTGGTCGTAGCATTCTAGCCGTTTGCATTCTAGCAAGCGAACCCGCAGCAACCGCGTTGTCTTCCTTCCTCTTTTTTGGTGTTCATTGCTTTGCCTGGCACTCAGGGGGGGCGCAGACGATTCCGTACAAGTCGTGGGCAACCATTCTATAAAATGTTTGCCGTCTATAAAATGCTGCTGAACCAGTGGTTTTTGCATTCGAGTTGCTGGAATCCGGTGCTGACGTTCACTGGGAGTACAGACCCCTATCTCCTTTTCGGGTTGTGTTGGGAACAGCTAGGGGCATCATGCCTTTGCGTCAAGACGGGGCACGTACCCTCGCTTCTCGTCATGTGCGAGAGCTGTAGGTTGTGCTGGCTGGGCTTCCCTCACAGCCACGAGAAGATTGAGGTTCTGTACCAGGAGGGCGACATAGATCGCGGCCCAGTGCAATCGGATTTTCCGGCTCGGGGAAACAGTCCACAGGTTTGTGGCGGTGGGCCTTTTCAGTGGCCTTGTCGCATGTGGGGTTTCTCAAATTGGATTCCACAACATGGTGGGAGTCCTGTCTGGGTTTTTGTTAATGAGCAAAGGGGAGACTATTTGGAGAAACTCCCTTTGCTGTTTCAAAGCCTGCCAGGTGCCATTAAATTCAAACGATGGCTGGCTGTGGCTGGCCAGTTGGCGGTTAATCCTTCCACTAGAATTTCATGTTTTGTTCTCGCCAAGCACCGCAATTCGCCCCTCTTTGAGGCTTGTCCAAAGCACACGGCCCCAAAATCGGGTCTAGCAAATGCACACACAACAAATGTCGCAAGCGATGCAAACGGGTGTGCGTTTTTTAGATCCCACCCCCTCTCCTCATCTCTCCTCCATGGCTAGCTGTTCCTGAAAGCAGGGGCCAAAAAGTAAGTCCTGGTTTGCACTCATGTGTTAAACCGCCGGCAGCGAAAGGCTCCTTCTAACACACCAAAAGTTGATGAAGAGGCTAAAGCCCCTGAAAGAAGCCGAGTAATATCTTCAACTGAGGTCAGGGGTCATTCTCAACAACAAACACCGGCCGCGTAATCGTTCACTTCCATGATTTCTAATCAAACGTTGTCGGGTAGACTCATTTACCCTGGTCATGCCGCAGGTGAGGTTGAATGATCCAAGCGCGCTTTCGACATCTGAGGAAGTGGATCCCTCAACGAGTCGGAGTTTGTGGTAGTCCTTCGGCGGATCCAGGCACCTTGCTGGATATGGCTGGTCGCCTTGCCAATGCACGAAACAACGCCAAAGCTGCAGCAAACGGTGCTCTGCTTGCGAGGTGGCAAAATCCAACTGGTTGACTAGCAAGGAGAAGGGAGATGAAGGGAGCCTTCATTTCTGGGGGCGGGGGGAGAACCCTCTGGTGCACAAGGTTTGCCAAATGCTGTCCACGGCCAGTCCTTTGTGTGTATTGCCGCAGTGCTTGGTTGCAACTCGTTTCTATTGGCGTGTCTCCTATGTACTTCTTTCCCGTTTCGGCCGTGTGCGCGCGCGTTGCTGGTTGAAGGTTTTCGAGGCGAAAAGATCGGCGCGGCGTATCGTTCGTTTTCCCTTGCCTGGGGCTCCCAATGCTTCCCGTTTTGGGTGGTTTCCCCCAAAAGCGGGGTGAGGTTGTTGAGGGGGAAAGGGGGCCCTGGAGCCTTGGTAGCTTTGAACGCTCCAAGGACGGGGAGCTCGGTACCATCCGCAGCTTTCTGCAGTCCACGGAAAACTGCGAGGTGTCCACGTTGAAGGAGTTGGAGGCTGGCTTTGGGAACGCTTCAGCTGGCTGGGGCAGCTGGTTTTGCGTTTTGCCTCTTTCCCCTTGCTTTCGATGTTCCCAGGGAGGGGGGGCGCCTTGTGGGCTGTTAAAATGACCAGGTGAGCTGCTAAAATACGGGACCAGCCATGTACTAGGGTTGTACAAGTTGTACCAGCTTTAAACTTCAGGTGAGTATAGATATTGGTTTTTGGCCCGGGTGCATAGCACAAGGAACCAAAGAGCCGGTCTAAGAACAGCGAAGGGGCCCCTCAATGGCACCCGAACTGCAGTTGATTTGCAGGGAAAAAAACTATGAGCGAGGTGTTTGACTTGGGGAACCACTTCTTGACTTCAGGTTTGGACTTGAAGGCAATTCGCAGAGATTGCAGCAACTTGTGTTTCGGCCTTCTTGGAAGCCGAAAAACCTAGGGGTTTAGGGTTATACAATATACACACCTTCGATGAGTGCATTCTCACAGAGCTTGGCGAAGCGCGGCGACCTTCGCTGTTTACAGAGCCCAAGAACCGGGATACCATCAAAGTTCCATTTCTTGGCAAGGCAGACCTAAACTTTACACCCGGGGTGGTTGATTAGTTGATTTCTGAACCAAGGCTGCCAGGTTTAAGTTTTTTGGGGGAAAGCAACACATGAAACCCTGTTGAAGATACTTGCAGGTTGGTTCCCAAGTTTTCATCGCCAGTTGTTGCTGGGGAAGCTGGGCTACTACCAGACCTCCGCTGCGGCCTTGATGGAGCCTGGTACGCACAGAAAAGCCTCGGGGCCGACCAGGAGGAAAAGGGCAGGCGACACTGCGCTCATTCTTTTGACTGTTTCTAGGGAAGCATTGTCAATTTTGCCCAACCGTTTTGGGAAGCCCCCCGGTCAGCTGGCTGGTTGGTTGTTTGCTTGCTTGGTTGGTTGGTTGGTTGGTTGGGCGGCATCCCCAGCATCTCCGGCTTGGTGCCCATGGCTGTGATTTGGTTAGTTGGTCAGGGTTGGTTGGCCGCACTGCATCAGCGGCCAGTTGGAAATTTCAAGGGGCTTTGGGGTGAGTTTTCGGCTGGAGGTCTTGATGGGGGCTGGTGTTGGCTTGGGTTCATTAAGGGCTCAGCAAAGGGCTGATGTCCAGGCTGTTGTTGTGTGTTTAGGATTGACTTGGGTCGGTTTGGGTTTGGAGCTGATTATCTGAGTGTTGGGCGGGTTTGGGATTTTAGGGCAATGCCCCACAACCATTGGCTAGTTTCCTGAAGACCTCTGAACCGGTGAAGAAGGCGCCGGTTTTGCATCTCCGTCTCTCCTCTAATGTGGCGGGCAGGTTGCATATGAGCACACTTTCCTCGTTCACTTCATGGCGAACACGGCTTGGCACTGGCTCAAGTGAACACCATCTGGATCGCAATGAAGTGTGTCCTCGCGGGCCTGGCGTTGCCCCAAGCCTTGGGCGCAAAGTTCTTGGCCCCCGTCTGTGAGGGTCGCCCCCTCCCAGAAGGGCAGCTTTGCACCAGCGTCCTGGACTTGAGCAAGTGCTCGCAGCGGCTTGGCGAAACACAGGCGGCGGCACTTGGGACCCGGAACTGCGGAGAACGCCAGCTCCACTCCTATCGCTTGCAGCTGTTGAGCAAGAAGCTTGGGGGCCCCAAAAGAACAGACTCACCCATCGTCAGCTTCCATCACTGAGGCTGGTACAGAGCCACGGCAAGGGGAGCCATTGCAACCGAAGAGTGACTATCAATGACTGTCTGTGAGCAATAGTCACCATTAAGGGCCATTTATCACCAGTTTGAAAGTTTGACCCTTCCATGGTTCCCCTTGCGATTGCTGCGAAACAGTATAAAACATGGACTCAGACGCAGGGGGGCCAAAGCTTCAGCCCAATAGAAGCCCCCACTTGGCCTCCCAGGGCCGCGCTGCTTGCCAGCCCATTCGTCAGTAGTAGAGGGGGGGTGTGATTCTTTGAAGGTCCAGGTTTCTGGGTTGGTTTAAGAGGAAGCTAATCAGAAACAACCCATTTTGGGCAAAAAACAGTGATGTTCCGGCAAGGGGAGACTACAGCCCAGGTTCTATGCGCAAGTGCATCAGACCGGGTTCTTCCAGTGCGAAGCTGTGGATGGAAATTGCCTTGCCACTGGTGGACCACAGCATACGGCGTGCACACCAAACCCCATTGAGTGCGATGAGTCAATGCCGATTGACACCGGGCTTAACTTGGCTGCCGGCGTGTCGCCAACCGTCAGCTCGGAGTGCTACACCAACAATCCTTGCGGCAAGCAGTACTTGACAGATGGCGACACGCGGGCGACTGGCACCGGGGACCGGCAGTACTGGCACGCTTGTAGCGAAACCAATCCGTACGCAGAAGTTGCGTTGTTTGCCCAGGCATGCGTCCGAGAAATTAAGATCTGGTCCCGCGCTGATTGCTGTTCTTCGCAGATGCAAGGCGCCGTTGCGGAGGTTTGGTCGGATGGCAGCTGGAAGCAGTGTGGTGGTACATCCACGGACGTGGGGATCAAGAAAGCCTTCTCGTTCAAGTGCGCGCTGGTTGGGACCAAGGCCAGAGTCATCAAGAAGGTGGCAAAAGATTGGATCACCATCTCCGAGTTGCAGGCGCGGTCGTGCCAAGCACATACCGAAAAACAAGGCAGGTAGAAAATACATCATTGAAAATGCCCCTACAGTCGTTTTGTCAGCTTGCATCCAACAGTGAGTGCGCTGTTAGCTTGCCAAAGTGTGCCATCTCACAGCACAGGTGCTAGCTCAAAGGGCCCATGGGTTTCTGACAGGATATGAAATAGCTTGTAGCATGGATGGCCGATGCGATTCGGCTCGATCCGATTTTTCGATTCGACCAGCGCCGAAGCGATTCGACCGATCCGATTCGACCTGCTTTCAAGGCTCCGGTGGCACAACTGATGGAAGTCTCCAGAAACAGCATGCTCCCAGTTGCGTTCTCCCGGCCCCGAAGAATGCATCTAGACGAGCGGTGGATTTTTAAGGCAGATCCTAGAAGGAGCATGCTCCCAGTTGCGTTCTCCCGGCCCCGAAGAATGCATCTAGACGAGCGGTGGATTTTTAAGGCAGATCCTAGAAGGAGCATGCTCCCAGTTGCGTTTTCCCGGCCCCGAAGAATGACGACCCTAGAAGGAGCATGCTCCCAGAAAAAATGCATCTAGACGAGCGGTGGATTTTTAAGGCAGATCCTAGAAGGAGCATGCTCCCAGATGCGTTCCCGGCCCCGAAAAATGCATCTAGACGAGTGGTGGATTTGTAAGGCAGATCCTAGAAGGAGCATGCTCCCAGATGCGTTTTCCCGGCCCCGAAAAAATGCATCTAGACGAGCGGTGGATTTTAAGGCAGATCCTAGAAGGAGCATGCTCCCAGATGCGTTTTCCCGGCCCCGAAAAATGCATCTAGACGAGCGGTGGATTTTTAAGGCAGATCCTAGAAGGAGCATGCTCCCTGATGCGTTTTCCCGGCCCCGAAAAATGCATCTAGACGAGCGGTGGATTTTTAAGGCAGATCCTAGAAGGAGCATCCCAGAATTGTTTTCCCGGCCCCGAAACATGCATCTAGACGAGCGGGGGATTTTTAAGGCAGCTCCTAGAAGGAGCATGCTCCCAGATGCGTTTTCCCGGCTCCGAAGAATGCATCTAGACGAGCGGTGGATTTTTAAGGCAGACCCTAGAAGGAGCATGCTCTCAGATGCGTTTTCCCGGCTCCGAAAAATGCATCTAGACGAGCGGTGGATTCTCAAGGCAGCTCCTAGAAGGAGCATGCTCTCAGATGCGTCTTCCCGGCTCAGAAAAATGAATCTAGACAAGCGGTTGGTGGTCAAGGCAGCTCCTAGAAGGAGCATGCTCCCAGATGCGTTTTCCCGGCCCCGAAAAATGCATCTAGACGAGCGGTGGATTTTTAAGGCAGCTCCTAGAAGGAGCATGCTCCCAGATGCGTTTTCCCGGCCCCGAAAAATGTCTTAAGGCAGCTCCTACAAAAAGCATGCCCTCAGATGCGTTTTCCCGGCTCCGAAAAATGCATCTAGACAGCTCCAAGAAGGAGCATGCTCCCAGATGCGTTCTCCCGGCTAGACGAGCGGTGGATTGCCAAGGCAGCTCCTACAAAGGGCATGCTCTCAGATGCGTTTTCCCGGCTCCGGAAAATGCATCGAGACAAGCGGCGGATTCTCAAGGCAGCTCCTGGAAGGAGCATGCTCCCAGATGCGTTTTCCCGTCCCCGAAAAATGCATCTAGACGAGCGGGGGATTCTCAAGGCAGCATGCTCCCAGATGCGTTTTCCCGGCTCCGAAAAATGCATCTAGACAAGCTGTGGATTCCCAAGGCAGCTCTTAGAAGGAGCATGCTCCCAGATGCGTTTTCCCGGCCCCGAAAAATGCATCTAGACGAGCGGTGGGTTTTTAAGGCAGATCCTAGAAGAAGCATCCTTCCAGATGCGTTTTCCCGGCCCCGAAAAATGCATCTAGACGAGCGGTGGATTCCCAAGGCAGCTCCTAGAAGGAGCATGCTCTCAGATGCGTCTTCCCGGCTCCGAAAAATGCATCTAGACAAGCGGTTGGTGGTCAAGGCAGGTCCTAGAAGGAGCATGCTCCCAGATGCGTTTTCCCGGCCCCGAAAAATGCATCTAGACGAGCGGTGGATTTTTAAGGCAGCTCCTAGAAGGAGAATGCTCCCAGATGCGTTTTCCCGGCCCTGAAAAATGTCTTAGGGCAGCTCCTACAAAAAGCATGCCCTCAGATGCGTTTTCCCGGCTCCGAAAAATGCATCTAGACAGCTCCAAGAAGGAGCATGCTCCCAGATGCGTTCTCCCGGCTAGACGAGCGGTGGATTGCCAAGGCAGCTCCTACAAAGGGCATGCTCCCAGATGCGTTTTCCCGGCCCCGAAAAAATGCATCTAGACGACCGGTGGGTTCTCAAGGCAGCTCCTAGAAAGAGCATGCTCCCAGATGCGTTTTCACGGCCCCGAAAAATGCATCTAGACGAGCGGTGGATTTTTAAGGGCTGCTAGAAGGAGCATGCTCCCAGATGCGTTTTCCCGGCCCTGAAAAATGTCTTAAGGCAGCTCCTAGAAGGAGCATGCCCTCAGATGCGTTTTCCCGATGCATCTAGACAGCTCCAAGAAGAAGGCGCATGCTCCCAGATGCGTTTTCCCGGCCCCGAAAAATGCCGGTGGATTGCCAAGGCAGCTCCTACAAAATGCATGCTCTCAGACGCGTTTTCCCGGCCCCGATAAATGCATCTAGACGAGCGGGGGATTGCCAAGGCAGCTCCTGCAAAAGGCATGCTCTCAGATGCGTTTCCCCGGCTCCGAAAAATGCATCTAGCGGTGGATTCCCAAGGCAGCTCTTAGAAGGAGCATGCTCCCAGATGCGTTTTCCCGGCCCCGAAAAATGCATCGTGGGTTCTCAAGGCAGGAGCATGCTCCCGGATGCGTTTTCCCGGCCGCGATTTTTTTCAAAATGCATCTAGACGAGCGGTGGATTCTCAAGGCAGCTCCTAGAAGGAGCATGCTCCCAGATGCGTTTTCCCGGCCCCGAAATATGTCTTAAGGCAGCTCCTACAAAAAGCATGCCCTCAGATGCGTTTTCCCGGCTCCGAAAAATGCATCTAGACAGCTCCAAGAAGGAGCATGCTCCCAGATGCGTTTTCCCGGCTAGACGAGCGGTGGATTGCCAAGGCAGCTCCTACAAAGGGCATGCTCTCAGATGCGTTTTCCCGGCTCCGGAAAATGCATCGAGACAAG